ACTTACCTTTTGCGTAATAATACGACTAGCTAACAGGTATCGAATGCTTACTTTACATATATTAACTTATTTAATCCTTACACAACTATGAGGTAGATTTTCCCCCCATTTTACAAATGAGAACACTGAGGAACTGAGAAGATAGGAAACTTACCCAAGGCTGCACAATTAATAAGTAGCAGAGTCGGAATTTGAATCTAGGCTGTATAGCTCTTGACCCATGATTTTAACACTTTTGCTCTACTGCCTTACATAAAAGCAAATTTAGTTAATTTTTGGAGGATGCTTGCAGGGGATGGTACTTGAGCTGCATATTATAAAGCAGTATGTGTTCCTGGGTAGCATGGGGCAAGAAAGCAGAAGGAGAGAGATTTGTGTTAGAGAAGTTGTTGGAGGAACCAAAAGCTTGATTAAAGAATGCATATGGCAATAATAATACTAACAAAAAATTATTTAGCACTTACTATATAGCAAGTACCGTGCCTCCACAAATATCTCATTTAATCTTTATGACAACTCTATAAAAATTTATTTACCCCGATAAATAAATAGCAAAGCTAAGATCAGGATCCAGACGCTTGCTGGCTTATTCCAAAGCACGAGCTTTTACCCATTGAATTACTCTATGGTAAGTGGGAGTATATTAAATGTACTCAGCTAAAGCTGAGGTGTCTTTTAGTAATTAATAGAAAACAAGATTAGATAGGGTGGATAGAGATTATGGAAAGCTTTGAAAACCAGACAAGGAGCCATTGAAGATTTTGATGAGGAAATGGCCTTTTTGTTCTAGTTACAACAAAGCATTTTTATATATGTTTAGACTATTCCAATTACTTATATTGAGTGAAATAGTCTGTGAAAGCATTTAGCAGATTGCCTTGGGCACATAGTAGTCACTTAAAAAGTATGAGTTGAATCTCAATCCTCTAAAAAACTTGTAAGCTCTTTGCAATGTAGATAAGATATGAGAAAGGAATGCTCTAACAGTGCTATCCAATGTGAGAAATACAATGTGAGCTACAAATGTAACTTTAAATTTTCTAGTAGCCACATGAAAAAGTAAAATGAAAAGAAAAAATAAAAAGGAAAAAGGAAAATGAAAGAGTAATTTTAATAATATATTTTCTTAAACCTAGTATCTATTAATAAGATATTTTATATCTTTTGGTACAAAATTTTCAAAATCCGTTATGTGTTTTACACTTACAGCACATCTCAATTCTGACTAGCTGCATTTCATGTGCTTGATAGACACATGTAGCTAGCTAGCAGCTACCCTGTTGGACACCACAGCTCCATAGTTTCATAGCATGGAATCTGGTGTCAGATGACCTGAGTTTGAATCCTGCCATTTCATTTCTTAACTGTGTGAGTATGGCCAGTTACTTAACCTTTCTGTACTTTAGTTTCTTGACATGTAAAATGAAAAAAATATATATTACTTACATCAAAGGAATTGTGAGATAATATATGTAAAGCATAAAACTTGGTTTCTGGCAAGTAATAAGTACAAAATAAATGTTTATTAATTTTATCATACTTTTATTATTGTCATTAAATAGTAATCATATCTTATTTTCCATGTCTTCTTTATGCAAATAGATGAGTATCCCCACGTAAATATTCCCACTTAAAATTCTAAGCCAATCACTAAATAGCAAAGAAAGATTGATGAGCTAGGAGGAAAAAGGCTGTGAGTGGTATATGCGTAGCATTAGACTCTACTGCTACTACTGGTATTCCCCAATAGGGTGCAGGTAAATTATTTTCAGTTTACTATTACACTTAAACTCATCAGATCTTTTGACTTTTTAACTTAGCATCATTATATATGCTTCCTCTACCAAGGAATAAAATTCATGTCCAAATAACAAGAAAGTTATTTCATTGTCTTTCTGCTTTTAACCATTTGGGGCCAAAATATATAGATTTATTTCTTTGTTTTCTTTCTTTCTAAACCTTTAGAAGAAAGTGCACAAAACAAAAAAAGTACAGTGATTTATCACACTCTCTTGTGTAACTGTCAAGTAACCAAAAAATAAAACATTGCCAAATTCCTAAAAGGTCCCTTTCTACTCCCTCACAATCAACACCCCTTCCACCCAACCCCTAGAATAACCACTGTTCTGTTGTTTGTGCCGATTGCTTCTCAGCTTTTCTTTATAGTTTTACCAACTAGGTGTGTAGTCCTGATCAATATAGTTTAGTTTTTCCTGTTTTTGAATTTTAATGTGAACAAAACCATGCATATAACTCTTCACTCACACTGTGAGATTCATCCATGTTCTTGCATGTAGCAGCAATTCATTCACTTTTATTGTTGCATGGTATTTCATTGTATAAATGTACCAGTTTGTTTGGATATTCTGTGGTAGATGGACAATGGTCTTTTCCAGTTGAGAACTGTTATAAACAGTGCTGTTATGAACATTCTTATGCACATAAGCATGCATTTCTCTAAACAACCCATGGATAGAATTGCTAGGTCATAGAGAATACAGTCTTGAACATTAATATATAATGCCTAACTTTCCACAGTGGTTCTACCAAATGATATTTCCACCAGTGGTGTGTGAGTTTCCATGGCTGTATATCCTTAACGAAAAAATGGTCATTTTTTTCCAACTTAATAATTCTGGTAGGTGTGTAATGATATCTCATTGTGATTTTAGCATTTTTTTCTGCTAAGAAAAGTTTGGTAAGAAAATATTCCTGCAAATATTGACTAAGATGAAGCCTTTGATTTTCAGCTTTCCATGCTGTCTTTGTCTTTCAATACCACAATCAAGAGTTGATACTTTTTAGAAAAAGTATTTTAAATGTTAATTGGATGCATGAAAGCAGTTAGTTTGAGATATGGCCCAGTATTCTTTCTTTATACTTTTTATTGACTTATCTGAAAAACAGATGTATTATTTCTCTATATAATTATTAAGCTGCCATTCCAGGAGTCATAACAGTTACTGAAATGAAAGGTATGGTCTGTGGTTTACTAAGTGAGATTTAATGAATAAATCTTTCCAGTTCCTCTAAGCCATTTTTTTTTTTTTTTTTTAAATAAAGTACAATCATTGTAACTGATCTGGATGACATTGAGTGGTTGGTTTCTGTTGAGTGAAGTAAAACAGACTTTTAACAGCTCGTGGGTAATGTCTGAAAGGTAAAGTGACATGAGATAAATGTCTGTGTTCCACTCTGAAAATAGCAAAAGGCATATGGAACCAAGATTTAACCTAATTGAATTGTAATTTAATCCTGCTTTAAAAGTGCTTTAGCAAAATTAAAATTGTACTATGATTTCATTTTGCACGATTAATACTAACAGTGGAAACTACTTAAGAAGATAGATGGTTGAAAGCTGTAAATGCCAATTCAGTTTTATAATTAATCTCAAAGTGTGTGTGTGCATTTTAAAAAATCATATATGCCCTGCAAAGAGAATAATGGAAAATTTTCTGGATAATTTAGTTTCCAAAAATACCAGTTTTATAACTATTTATAAATGTGAAGTGATTATGTTGTTTCGTTCTCAAGTGTGATGAAAAAAATTTAAATTTCTAAAAGAACATGCATTTTTGAAAATAGAATGATTTAACCTCAGCTTTTGTTCTATTAATAGTCTTTGGGTAGTAAAAGAATTTTAAGCTTGACAAGTTAGGTACTTTAAAAGGATTGATGTAAACTACGTTTAAAAACAATTATAATTTTAACTTGGAAGATAAATTGTTAAAATGTTAAATATGGTCCCACCAAATATAAAGTAGTAAAAAAAATATGCTGTGTGTATGATTATTTTTGGTACTTAATAGGAATGAACCTTGTACCAGTTATGGCTTATTTGCTTTCCTGGTTGGCTTTGAGCTTGGAATATAAATTGGTTACAAAACTTCTGAGTTTAAACTAAATTAGTGGTTTGTATTTTTAAAAACTTTATACTTCTTGTTTAGAATCACAAAATGTCTGTTTTCTGGTACTTGGAGGTTTACAACAGGACTTGAAATTTCTGGTAAAGGTAATGAACTTTATTTTAGGAAAAATGATGGAATAGAAATTTGGATGGATGAAAGCCACAGATTTCTGGTTTCTGTTTAAAGAAAATAAAGTATCTGACAAATTTAGCTGATTGAGAATCAAAATAAGAAAAATCTGAATATATTTTGTTTCTCTCTTTTTTATACTTGTGATAAATTTTGAAGCCTGTCAGTTGTTTGCTACAATGTAGTCACATCTGTAAGCAAGTACAGTATTTATTTGAGAATTTAATATTAACAGATTGATGATGATAGAATGTGAAGATATTGACACCCACATTCAGAATGTTATGTATTGCTAATAAAATTCTTCTACTACCTGATGACTATTAATGGAACAAAAGCTGAGGTTAAATTATTCTATTTTCAAAAATACATGTTCTTTTAGAAATTTAAATTTTTTCATCAAACTTGAGAATGAAACAACTTAATCGTTTATAAAGAGCTATAAAACTGGTATTTTCAATTAGCTTATCATAAATAATAATCCAGATAACAGTTTATGTTAATAATTCATTTAATAATTCATTTCATTCTTCCAGTTCTTTAAATTTAGCAAGGCCACTTGCAACCAAATTGCTGTTTCAAACTGTCTTTGCTATATGCTGATTTTACCATGTATGGGAGATAAATCTAACTCCAGTTACTATATACCAATTTATGTTATTATATATTCAAAAGCTTTTTATATCTGAAATTAAGTTTAATCCCGTTTTAAAGCAAAAATATCTACTTTAAAGCACTTTCTCCTCTGCTTAGCAGTGTTTCAGAGTCAGTTAAACAGTGAATATACTTTGAGATTCTTGTTCGATTACATCCCATTGATTTGTATTGTTTTCCTTTTAGATTCCAGTATCAGTAAAGATGAAAGTTAAAAAAAGAAAGAAAAAGAAAAACCAGCTATAGATTATGAAGTATGGCAGTAGCAAAGAATATCCATTTCTAAGCTTTTCATCTTTTATTTTTAAGATAAAGATACCAATAGCACTGTGAAGGGGAGCGTGGATGACATTGGCCTGCGAGACACCTTGAGCACTGCGTCAACCGATTCCTTTGCTTCAGCAGCAGAGGTAGGGCATGTATGTTCCTAATGAGAATTCCTCATTCTTTTTCAGCTAGACAGTGGTTTTGCCATTGTGTTGTAATTCAGTTCAGTAGCCATTTATTTAGCATCTACCGTGTGATGATATAATGATGAATTTAACATGGACATAAGTTCTCACAGGAGCTCATAGTCACTTTAAAAAGGTGAACATGCAAACACATACTTTGGATGGGCACTTTCATATGCTGTGGATTATGGGTGACGCATATGAGTATCTTAATGTAAAGCAGTTAACCTTATATCAAGAGTCTTAAAATTGTTCAGTTCTTTAGCTCAGAAATCATACTTCTAGATATTTTTTCCAAGGAAGTGATCAGATTCAAAGATTTATATACAAAAATATTCACTGTCGTATTTTAAAAATAATGAAAAACTAGAAACAGTCTAATGCCAAATTATGGTACTTCCATAATTTGAAATATTATAGTGCTGTAAACATATTTCTAATCATATTTAATGACATGGGAACATATGTTAAGAGTAAAGAGAAGTAGTATATAAAGCTTTATATAGAGCATATGACTGTGATTTTGTAATAGGAAAAAAAGAACATATATGTGACATATAATTATTACAGAAAAAAGGCTAGATGTAAATATACTAATTATTACAGAAAAAAGGCTAGATATAAATATACTAATGTGTAATAAACAGTCGTGATCACGGAATTATAAATTTATGAGTAATTTGTTTTCTACTGAGATTTAAATTTTGTATTAAAAGGGAATACTTGCAAAGTAGTCATCTTTTTGTAATTTTTTCTACTTAAAATAGGCTTAAAAATAACGTGGCCAATTTTATCTTAGAATAATTTCATTTTTATGGTAGATTTTGGATATGAATGCTGTTTTTTTAAAATTATAAATAGTATCACACATCTGTAATTGATGCATGAACTCATGCTTTAGTGTGGAAAGTTTTTGGTATTCCAATACTCTGTACCCTAAGCCTGATTCTGCCTTTATTAAAACTGTACTGACCATAATCTTTTCATCCTCTAGAGAGTCTCTGTATATGTATATTTTAGCTATTGCTTATCGTGTCTTATCCTGACTTGTTTACATTTTTCCTTATAATTTATACTTGTAAGTTTATAATAGATTTAATATATCTACTTGGTTTTTTTTGAAAAGCTATTTTCTCTTTTACAGTTTGATATGGATAGGTTTATCTTTCTGGTTTTTAAAATATTTTTTCCAGCTTTATTGAGATATAATGAATATATAACATTGTGTAAGTTTAAGCTGTACAATGTGATGATTCGATACACATCTATTGTGAAATAATTGCCACAATAAAGCTAATTAACACCTCCATCACCTCACATTTACCTTTCTTTTGTGGTGGTGGTGAGAACATTTAACATTTAAGATCTACTCTCTTAGGAACTTTCAAGTATATAATACAGTCTTGTGGACTATAGTCACTGTGCTGAATGTGAGATCCCCAGAATTTACTCATCTTCTCACTAGAAGTTTGTACCTTTTGACCAACATCCCTCCACTTCCCTCACTCCTCAGCCCCTGGCCACCACCATTCTTCTCTCTGTTTCTATGGATTTGGCTTTTTAGATTCTATAAGTAAGTGATGCCATACAGTATTTATTTTTTTTCCTGTCTGATTTATTTCACTTAACATAATGCCTTATGCTAAGTGAAATGTATTTATACTACATCTTCTTTATCTGTTGATGGACCCTTGTTTTCATATCTTGGCTGTTGTGAAAAATGCTTCAATGAATGTAGGAGTACAGATTCTCAAGACAGTGATTTCATTTCCTTTGGATATATATGCAGAAGTGGGATTGCTGGATGGTAGTTCTATTTTTACTTTTTTTGAGAAACTTCTGTATTGTTTTCTGAATTAGCTGTACCAATTTACATGTACCAGGGTTCTGTTTTCTTTACCTCCTGTCAGCACTTATTTCTTATCTTTTTGATAATAGCCATTCTGACAGATGTGAGGTGATATCTCATTGTGGTTTTGATTTGTATTCTGATGATTTGTGATGTTGAGCAATTTTTCAGGTACCTGTTGGCCATTTGTGTCTTCGTTGGCAAAGTGTCTATTCAGGTCCTCTGTCCATTTTTTAATTGGATGTTTGAGTGAAGGTTGCTACTGAGTTGTTTGGATTTCTTATATATTTTTTATATTAACCCCTTAGCAGATAGGTGGTTCGCAGATATTTTTTCCCATTCTGTAAGTTCCCTTCTCATTTTATTGTGTCTTTTGCTGTGCAGAAGCTTTTTAGTTTGGTGTAGTCCCATATGTTTATTTTGCTTTTGTTCCTTGTGCTTTTGGTGTCATACCCCAAAAAATCATTGTCAAGGACCTTTTTTTTGCCAGTGTCAAGGAGCTTTTTCCCTGTTTCCTTTTAAGAGTTTTATGGTGTCAGGTCTTATGTTGAAGTCTTTAATCCATTTTGAGTTAATATTTGTGAATGACATAAGATACGGATCCAGTTTCATTCTTCTAAATACAGTTCTGCAATTTTCTCACCTTACTGAAAAAGCTCTTGAGTATTCTTGGCTCCCTTATCAAATATTGATTGACATTATATGCAAGAGTTTATTTCTGGGCTCTCGATTCTATTCCATTGGTCTATGTGTCTATTTTTATGCCAGTACTGTACTGTGTGATTACTATAGCTTTTTAATACAGTTTGAAATCAGGATGTGTGATGCCTCCAGTTTTGTTCTTTCTGAGGATTGCTTTGCCCGTTTGGGGTCTTTTGTGATTCCATACAAATTTTAGGATTTTTTTTCTAGTCCTGTGAAAAATGCAGTTGGAATTTTGATAGGGATTGCAATGAATTAATAGATAGCTTTAGGTAGTGTGGACATTTTATTTATTTATTTATTTGTTTATTTGTTTTTAGGCAGGGCAACCCTTTGTTGACGTCACAGATTGCAAAGACTTTGTCAGCTTACAATCCCTTATCTTTTTATTTTTTATGCCTACAGCACCTGGTCTTACTAGGTTGTCTCCCATCCAAATACTAACCAGGCCCTACCCTGCTTAGCTTCCAAGATCAGACAGGATCGAGCTTGTTCAGGGTAGCATGGCTATAGATAGTGTGGGCATTTTAACAGTATTAATTCTTCCATTCCATGGACACACGCTATCTTTCCATTTATTTGTGTCTTTTTCAGTTTCTTCATCAAAGTCTTACAATTTTCAGTGTACAGATTTTTCATCTCCATAGTTAAATTTATTCCTAAGTATTGTATTCATTTTAATGCTATTATAAGTGGGATTGTTTTCTTAATTTCTCTTTCTGATAGTTTGTTCTTAGTGATTTTGTATAGTGATTTTGTATCCTGCAATTTTACTGAATTTATTTATTCTAATAGTTTTTTGGTGGAATCTTTAGGATCTTCTGTATATGAGGTCATATGTTGCAGAGACAGTTTTACTTCTTTTTTCCAGTTTGTATGCCTTTTTTTTCTTTTTCTTGCCTAGTTCCTCTGGATAGGACTTCCAGTCCTATGCTGAATAGGAATGGTGAGAGTGGGCACCCTTGTCTTGTTCATATTCTTAGAGGAAAAGCTTTCAACCTTTCACCATTGAGTATGATGTTAGCTGTGGGCTTGTTATATATGGCTTTTGTTGTGTTGAGATACATTCCTTCGTACCCAATTTGTTGAGAATTTTTATCATAAAAGGATATTCTGTTTTGTCAGATGCTTTATATCTTTTTGATCTGTAGACACTTATGCCCTAGATGGTTTGTAAGGAGAATAATTGCTAATCATGTTGCATTATTTCCACTGTGAAGAACAGTATACCAAATTGCTCTGAAGTTTCTTTATCATGTACAACTTTCAAAAATATTTTGCCAAGTGTTCATTTTACTCACTTTAAATTTGTTGTAAGTTACAAAGGTTTGATACATTTTTTAAAAATCCTTATGGACAACAAAATGTATGAATACCACAAGAAGGGCTCAATATCTGAGAAACATCCTAGGAATGCTTCTAGGGTATAAATATATGATCTCAGAATGTGAATGTTCCAAGATAAATTCTTTTCTAAGAAATATTTGTTAAATTATTTTTAATTGCATTTAATATATGCCAAGCACTTAAATTAGAGAAAACTTTTAATGAAGAAAGTTATTAAGAGAATAAGATCAGAACTGCTTGGGAAGTTAAACAATTTGTGGTCATTTGAAAGCTTTATTCAGAATTACCAGAAAGATTTCTTGCCTATTTAGAATAAAACAAGTCCTGGCATTGGTTTTTGCCTAAGCTAGGTCAGTCATTTGCGAAAGTGATTAACAAGATTTTCCTATATAAGCTTTGCCAGACATTGGTTTGGAACCATAGCCTTTTTTCTCTGAAAAGCCTTTTTAAAATAATAATAATAATAGCTTTTTTAGATATTTCATGCACTATAAAATTCACTCTTTTAAAGTGTACAATTCAGTGGTTTTCAGTATATTCACAGAGTCGTGCAACCAGTACCACTTTCTAAATCCACAACTTTCTTATTACTCCAAAAAGAAACCCGTAACTATTAGCAATCACTCCCTTTTCTCACCTAACCTCCTCCCTTAGCCCTTGGCAACTACTGTTCTACCTTTTGTCTCTATGGATTCACGTATTCTGGACAGTTCATACAAATAGAATCACACAATATATGCTCTTTCGTGTTTGATGTCTTTTTACTTAGCATAATGTTTTCAAATTCTGAAAAGTCTTTCTAATGTGAGGATAGCACTGCATTAGTACTCTCCTAACTCCCATCTGTTAAAGAAATTGTCATTTAATAGGGAGAAACTAATATTGCAGAGGTAGCAATTTTTAGCTGTAGATTCTGTTTTTCTTAGAATTATCACTGCAAGGTGTGTCTGTATGTTTAATATATAAATTGTAGAGTGCTCTTTAAAGAGAAAATTTTATTTTCTATAATTCAGATACCTCTACTTATCAATGGAAGCTTGGAAAGCTTTTATTAATCTCC